TATATCTTCACTTTTCTGCCACCAACTACAACAAATGAAGGTATTATTAAACAAAGTTTACATGTTTGTTGCTGTAATGATAGATACTACGTTTTCCTACATTTTCATCAAAGAAAATTACTGTATATTTCAAATAAAATGACAAAAATTTCGGAGACTAGAACGAATTAATTGCATTTGCATTAATTTCTATGGGAAAAATTGCTTCGGTTAACGAACAATTCAGTTAACGAACGGAGTCGCGGAACGGATTAAGTTCGTTAACTGGGGTTCCATTGTATATATTTCCTGTGAATACCATTAAAAAATGTCATTCTTATCTTCATTTCATAAAATTTTTTGCATCCTTAAACTCGTAAAAGTTTTCAGTTTCATGTTTAGAAAATACTCAGATATGCTTCACATCAAAAGTGGCATTAAGAAATTCAGAGAATTTTGAAGAAGGAAAGCATAACACAAACAACTTCTACACACTATTAAATATTTATGCTGGATTTAAGGTGTGTAAAAGTTGTCTGATTGCAGTATTAGTTTACACTTAAATAAATGGAAAGAGTAACATAAGCAGAATAAATCAAATCAATTGTGTTGGGAAAATTGGCAAACATCTTGCTTGGAAAGATTAGATAATATAATTGGTAATGTCTCCTGTATATTTTATCATAGTGTGGTTTTGAATCCATTTCAGGCTGCATCTTTTCTTCTAGATTTCTCTAAATTAATTAACAATTAATTTCTAATTATTAAATTAGTACAAAATGACATTTAACACTTCTAATGCCAAATTACATTAATTAATTACCAAGTAAAAATAACTTTTAATTTTGGTACTTTTTTGGTCCATTTTTTTATTTCTATTCTTATCATGATGCATTATTTTATGAAACAAAACCATATGCCAATTATTTAGAAAAAACTATTAAACATTATAAAATATATGATAATTTTTTGACATCTATCTATCAGGCTTAAGCAGACAAAATATATGGTCCTAAGAATGTCCATTAAACCCAGATTCTACTATCATATTAATAGAATATTATTGCTATGAAATTGCTTTTAAATGAATAAGTCATAAAAAATAATGAATACAGGAAGAACTTAATAAGATAACATACTTTAAAATATATAACAGATTATCTGTATAAAAGAGAACAGATGTTAGAGATGGCTGAATAATCTATTTGATTGAAGACAAGAACAAAACAAATTATAAAAAGTAGTGTTAATTTTAACTATTAAAATAGTGTTATGTTATAAAATTCAAATTATTCATTATTTTAATAATAATTTCAATTTTTAATATTACTAGATATTGTATTTACTAAACAATTTGTTACTTATTATGCATGATTTTAATGAAATCCATGATGAGAACTTAAAGCATACATAGAAACAATAATGACCATAATGACTCACAAATCGTATAAACTTCTAAATGATTTCATTTTTCAAAAAGTCAAAATATATTCAATTTGATTAGGAAATATTAAAGGCCAATAAGCTTCTTAAAACTGTCATTTAATCTTTTGTTATTCAATCTGTCAACATTTATTCATATGTTATTAAGCCCTAAAACTAAATAATGGATCATTGCATGCATATATGGAATTATTTGAGAACTAAATATCATCTCTCATATATACCAATCAGTCTTTTTTCTATTTAAACAAAAAAAAAAAAAAAAAAAATTTTACTATTAATCCATGACATAAATCAGATTATTACAGATCTCTAGTATACATGGAATATCAACAAAATAGTTCCTGCTTTCAATAATTCTTTTAAGAATCAACAATTGAAATTGGGATAGACATTTTCATTTATTTTTAAACATACAAAGTCATTGTCCTTTAGTCTATTATAAATTGTATTAAAAATCTGGAATTTCTCCCTAATATGTAACAAGAGCATCATGGATTTCCATTAAATACATTCAGATAGAAGTCCAAAAAATTCTATTTCAGCCTTCACCAAAAAAAATTAAAAAAAAAAATAGAAAAGAGAGTAAGTCTACTGTATTTTTATAAGCCTATAAATTCAAAAAACATTATGAAAAAATATATGTATGCAATAAACAAAAAAATTTTCTATTGCATTTCTATTCATATAACACATCTGTGTTTAATAAAAGACAATTTGAATGGGATTGTGAGCTATGCAATGAGATAAGTTATGCACCAATTTTAAACTGTAATTACATACTTGCATCTGTGGAGTAATGGCTGCTCCTATAGGTACAGTACATGGTATATGACAGTGCAGGTTACACAAAGGTTTTATTTTTGTTCTAGAATTTTCCACAGATTACATGGGCAAAAATATGGTAATTTTCTCAAAGTGTCTTTTATTTATAAGGTCAATAAATTATAACTCTTCCTCAAATGTTTAATGAATATATTATTAAGTCATGCCTCAAGCAAATCAATGTCATTTTGCATAAAATAATAAAATCTATATTGCTCATAAATTTAAAAAAATTAGAATTTCAAACTCAAATACAGTGAACTTGATAATCCAAAACTACAGTAGAGCGTCGATTTTCCGAATCAATTGGAGACTGGGGTTGTCCGGATAACTGATATTTCGGATAACTGATTTACATACGAGAAAATAGTTTAACGTATCGAATTTTTCTCCGTTGCGTGTCGCTTTGCGTTGAATTTTCGTCGATGTTAAGCCTAACAAAGACTATTGTATCATTAAAAATTATTTTTTTATTTTGTACAAACAAAATAAATATATTGAAAAATATAAAAACAATAAAAAATTATACTTCAGATGTTAATTTAGTATCAAAAACGTAAAATATTTGAGTAGCCCAAGACATAGCCAAAGATTGAAGCGCCACAGCACTGGCGAAAATTTAAATTTGCCGACTGGAATTCTTTTGGATGATTGACTTTCGGAAAATCGACGCTCTACTGTATTTAATACTAAAGTATTCAAAACAGCAAAAAGCTGAATACAGAAAAAAGAAAAAAAATTATCAAATAAAATTTCAAGTGTAACAGCTTTAAGTTTAATATTAAATTATCTACAGAAAAAACCTACCGTTTTTTTTAACAAATAAAATTGTCAATTTTTTTTTAATTCTGTTTGATGAACATCATTTATTCTCAATACAAGTAAGAGTTCATTCTGCATTGCCAAACAATCTGCCAGATTATCAGAATGTATTAGCCTTAATAAAGTCCAATAAATAATCTGGCAAATTGTTTGGCAACACTAATTGAATTGGGTTGTTGTATATGAGAGTTCTTTCTATATTTTAATGTGGATTACTAAAGATTTGAGTTATCAAAAGTATATCATATTTACAAATTTGCACTATTTGTTGCAATACTTTGATATTGTAACAGATTAATTAATAAATAAAGCAATAAACTAATAAATTAGCAGTCTATTAGTAAAACTAAATAATCATCATCAGTATTAACAACAAAATATTTATAATGCAGATTACAATTTATACATCTTTATAAAAAAACTTATTTATAAACAATAAAAAATATAAAGAGCCAATCACAATCCCAGAAGGTCAAAATCCTGAAAAATTAAAATCTTAAAAATATAATCTGAAAAAATAATAATAATAAATGTTTAAAAGACATTTATTTACATTTTTA